AAGCAGAAGGGGATAGCTGCCCATCCCTGCCATACCTTGTATTGAATAAATCAGTATGGTCTGCTTTTAAAAAATTGGGTTTCGTGGTCACCCATTGCATTTGACCCCCCTTTATTTCTAGTGGAGTTTGAGAGACTTTACCACTTTCCAGTTCCAAGTTTCTGGGGTGGTGGACTATGGAGGCATCTTCCTGAATGGGTTAATGAAATACAAACAAAATATAGAAATGATTATAAAACCATTCAGTTGAGAGTAGGGTGGTGGTGTTCTGCTAATGTAGATGATGTCATATCCTCCAACATGAAACAAAAAACAAATGGGAGTGAGATATCAAAATTGCAGTTCACCCCTTTGATTGGGATCCCTCATCCTACCCCCACGTGGATGTCAGTTCCCAGTGGCCAGGTTTTGTATTTAGAGTAGAGCCAATCAACATAAGTCCTCACACATGTATTACAGATGTCTATATTCCTCCCTCATTTATACTCCATCAGTGTTGTGGGTCATGGTGGAGGTAATTGAGGATTGTTATGAATTTTGTCTTTCCACTATCCCTTGATGTTTCTTTTTCTAAAGATATTAATGCACTTCAGGTGGTTCTGGTCAGTTTTACTTTTGAGGGAGATGGTTTACATTATTCACACATCTTTTCGATGCCAGGTGTCAGGTTCCTGGATCGATCTATCAATTTATTATATTCATATGTGCCCTGTTCATGAGTCTGGGATTACTAGATTCCCTCTGGTCTCATGAACTTGAGGTAAAGATGGTATGATCTTCTTTCCTACCCCTACCAGATTGCTGGGTTTTGGATTGTAGTTGATCTGCCACTGATATAAACCTCTTTCCTACTCCACATGGATGTCGGTTCCCAGTGGCCTGGGTTTTGGATTCTAGTCGACTTGCTGTGTATGGCCTATCATACTTTAGCCACTCTACACCTCAGACCCATCCTTTTCATTTTACCCACTTTAATAATTCTGGGATTGAGGTTCATAAATATTGCATGGTGCAGATTACTTTCCAATCATAGTTCTCTCCCAACTGGAAGTGCTCCTCTCTTCTCCACCCATATATGTGACACCTTTTTATGCTGGGCAAAGAGGAGTGACCTTTAGACACTTTCGAAGGATGCTTCTTTTTTTTCTCATACCACTCTCTCCACCTATTCAATATGGGATTCTAGCTATTTATGTGAGAGGAGGTAATATACTGTATCAGAAGTTATAATTTTCTTATATTGAAAATGTATTTCCGATAGGCACTTACCACTTCACACAATTCCCACCATTCCTCCCCACTGAAAACCAGTGCGTCCATTTTCTGCCAAAACTGGAAGTGATAGTTAGGTAGAATTGAATAGTCACATGCATAATAAGTGCGTCACACTCCTATTGGTGGAGGGTTGTTGCATGATGATTTGCATGAAAGATGCATTGTAATTAGTCAATTCCAATTGAGGAGAGAAAAAAGGCATGTGACATGTGTGAAAATTATTTTTCATATAGAGAGCAGCACTGAAAGAGAATAGCTATGTGAAGGATGGTAAGTACCTAAGGGAAATACATTTTAATTATAGGAAAATTATAACTTTTCTCATAATTACAATATTGTAGATATCTTCATCAAATCTCTTTGAAATTATTTTTTTCAGAATCATGAGGAAAATTAGTCATAACTAGGAAGTTTATATAAATAGCATTTTAATTTTTATCTTCTTGTAGTACCTGCTGTTCACTGATTTTATTGTATAGAATTTCAGTTCAGATATACTCTACATTAGATCATATTGAAAATGGATTCAAGTTGTGGACAATGCTCGATTATCAATCCTGCTGATGAAAGTGGACAACCAAGAAATTTTAGTTTTGATGGAGCCTATTATATAGAATCCACTACTGAATGGTTATATAGTGATATCGTGTTTCCCATTGTAGATGTAAGTAATTTTCTGTTGTTAATTTGTAGACTAGATTTGTGTTTTTACTTGTCAAACTTCAGCAGTAGGCTACCTGTTATTTACTCGTACTATAATATTTAGTATGTTGCTTTTACACCTACTACAGTATTATTTTGTGTTGATCAAATAATAACAATAATTATGGAAATATTCTCTCTATAAATGTTTTTCAGCATAATGGGCAAGTTTTAGTAACATAATTATACAGCAACTTTTACAGTTTTACAAATTATACAGTACTTATAGTCATGAAATTATGCAGCAACTAGATAGTCATGTTTCCATGTACTTATAGTCATGAAATTATGCAGCAACGGATAGTCATGTTACCATGTGCTTATAGTCATGAAATTATA